CAGCATGCCCTTCGGATTTTTCCCCCATTGTCGTCTTCTGATGACGCAGGGGTAAAGCGACAGACATACACACACATGCTGAAAGTGTTTCTGAAAAATGGCAACAGTGCAAGTTAGTGAGGCTGAAAAAGTGTACATACTACACGGCATACGAGTAAGTTGTTAACAAACATGTTAAAAAAATACAGCACCAGACTTTTGTTTATTCTGTTAAAATCATTTTAAATGTATTTATGAGCTTTAGCGATAGGAAGCTAGCTGCATTAGCACTGTCTCTGTTGACATGTTTCTTCCTGGTCTTCAGGATGACTTAAGGGTGGATGGACGAGGCTGCGAGGACTACAGACACATGGAAATAGAGACCGATGTGGTTTCCAACACAGACGGATCCGCCAAAGTCACGCTGGTAATTAAATCAGGCAGCATGTGTGAACAGCTGAAAGACTGAAATTTAATGATCATTAAACGATTTACGCAAAAACGAATTCTTAAAATCACATCTAAATTTGACTTGGAGCCAGTGTAAGGAAGCCACAATGGCTGATATGTGATCTCACTTGTCACTTAAGAGGCTTCCCACAGGGTTTTAGTCCAGCTACAGTCAGCAAAGCAAAACCTGAATGACTTGGCAGATGAATGAAAACTGTTAGTAGTAAAGCTGAGATGAAGTGAAGGCATGAGTACGCTTTTCAGAAGTCAGAGTGCTGTTGAAGCTCATTTCCAGGTTCCACTGTCAGACCAACCTTTTTATATCACTCCATGGTTTGTCTCTCTTTCAGGGGCACACAGCGGTTCTTGTGGGTGTTAAGGCAGAGATTGGAAAACCAAGGCCAACGGTGCCAGCCGAGGGCTATTTGGAGTTCTTTGTTGATTGGTATGTATGCTGCTAAATGATATTTCTGTTTATGAGGGGTATAACAATTCTGAAACTGTGGCCAAAATAGGGATACAAACATCCACAATATGATTTCACTATTCCACTTGAAGCTGGTAATTCCACGTTAAAGCACATGTGTCTGGTGAGAGCTGTAATCAAGTGTGTGTTTGAGCCCAGAGGTGCCACTATGGATTTAACAGAGGGGGGAAAAGGTCCCACGGCATTTTCTACAATCTTCACAGTGATTATCGAAATTTGCTTTCTGTGTTAATCACAGAATTATTTTATTTTTATTTTTACGTATTATTGACGGGCACAAACTGTATAGTGTAGCAGCAGAGTTGGTGCTAAAACATGTACTGATTTTGATTACTTCTGATTTGATTAATTATTATTATTACAGTTATTATTCTCATTATTCTCATTATTCTCATTATTTTCTGTAAGATTTATTTGGCAGCGTGAGAATAGGTAAAAGTGCAACAGCTGCTGTTATATAAAAAGAACTAGAAATACCCCAGAATAAAAACAAAAAAAAATACCCCAGAATAATTAAGTGTATTTTTTCTCTATTCATGAATGTGGTTTAAAAAAAACAACTGTTTTTTTGTTTTGTTTTTTGTTTTGTGGGGAGTTGAAAGGTAAGCCAGGCTGTGGCTCGGAAGAGTTGTTACACCCCGTTGGTTTAAACGTGGGTACGCGTCATTTTTTACAGTGTTTAGGTGAAAAATCTTGAATTCAAATCAAAATTTTTGCATCAGCAATTAAAGATTTTAAAGACATTGAAAGTAAAAAAAATCACTTGAAGTTAAGTGAGTGTTTTAATGGATGTGCTGCCACCAGGAGGTAGTGTTGCATTATCTGTTCCCTGGATTTCCACCATAGTCCACTAAAGAAAGTATCATCATATGACCATACATAACGTGTTTGTGTGAAGAGAGGTAGCAAGATTAGCAAGCTTTACTCTGGGATAAGCTCCTGCTGTACGACATAGCTGGGTTGTTTCTTCTTCAGTTCGGCCAATGCGACCCCCGAGTTTGAGGGCAGAGGGGGTGAGGAGCTGGGCACGAAGCTGAGTAACACCCTCTACAAAGTCTTCAACAACAAACGCAGCATCGATCTGAAGAGCCTCTGCATATGTGCTGGAGAACACTGCTGGGTGCTCTATGTGGATGTGCTGGTGAGTCGTAGTGTCCAACGCTGCCTTTTGCTTCCTAAAATTTTTTTTCTTTTTTAATATTTATTTTTTCTAGTGTGCAAAAATAAAGAAAACGTGCACTGTACACTGCAGCTCCCTTTCTCCATGACTGCAGTTTTTTTTGCCCTCCATTTGAGCGTCATTGAATTTTGACTAGTGATCCAGCCAAAATCCTCTCCTCTGCTGCTCCACAGTTGTTTTCTGCAATAATAAATTTATTGTTTTTAGACAGAACAAGTTATTTTTGGACAATAATTTGACTGAGAACTTACTACACCAGTCATTTTCACAATTTTCTGACATATTTTAGCACAAAAAACTAATAAATAATTACAATTATTCCATCACAACCCTACATGTGATTCTTATGGGCTGTGCTTCTGCTTTTATCCTCAAAATGACAAGGCTGTTTTCCTGCATTTACGTTTTTCTTCCTGTTTGTATAGTAAGAGTTGTTAGCAGTGTAGAGGTGTTAAGATTTGCTTGAACATTTCCAAATAAATCCAAACAACTTGGGTCAAATCTCATGTTTTTATGCTTCCACAGCTCCTGCAGTGTGATGGAAACTTGTACGATGCCATATCAGTAGCTATCAAGGCGGCTCTCTTCAACACAAAGTGAGTCTCCGTTTGAGATTTTTTGGCATCTTACAGTTTATTTAATATTGCACAAATGAAATCTTACTAAAAGTCTTGATTACTCCACCGACAGAATTCCCAAAGTTCACATATCATCCGATGAAGAAGGAGGAAAAGAAATTGAGCTGTCTGACGACCCCTACGACTGTATGAGACTCAACGTAGAAAACGTTCCCTGTATAGTGACTTTGTGCAAGGTGAGCTCACTTGCTGATGCTCAGAGGTGATGACTGTCACCACACCATAGTGCTACATGCGGCTCACTGTGTTTCTGCAGGTGGGACACAGACATGTGGTGGATGCAACACTGCAGGAGAAGGCCTGCTCTGTGGCAAGCCTCATAATCTCCGTCACGCACAAGGGCACCATCACCTGTATGAGGAAGGTGGGCGGAGGCAGTCTGGACCCAGAGAGCATCTTTGAAATGACAGAGGTGAGCCCAGCTTCGCTCCTCAGCCATCTGGCCTCCTCTCAGCACAGCTGAAGAATTAACAAATTGTGCTTTTAACCTTATTTACATTTTAAAGCAGCAACATTTGACCTTCAGTTAAAAGGAATCCTTTATATTCTCACGTGGAGTTGGAGCTGCAGGTTGAACTTGAACCTGGGCTGCTGCATTTCAACCATAAGTCAATGGGCACCTGCTCACCCACCTAACTAAAGGAGTTCACTACTTTTATAGACAGAATTTCTAGGCAGAGCCAAGTGTCATCTTTGCTTACACTGCTGCCCCGTGCCCAAACCTGGATAAGTGGCAGAAAAATAGGTGGATTGTTTATTTCCTTTCTTTCTTTCTTTCTTTGCTTGTTTTCTGCAGGCGGGCAAAAGAGTTGGGAAAGCCCTCCACGCTCCTCTCATGAAGCTGCTGGAACAGGAAGAGAGTCTCGGAAAAAAGAGACAGAAAGTTGGTTTTTTGGGCTAAAAATCCGCTCCTGTTTCCAAGTTTGTGTTTACATGTATACATAATTTTCTAATAAAGTGTTTATTTGTACTCTGCTTATATTTGTTTTTTCAGATACGTTTTTGTTGTTGTTTTGTTTGCACACAGATTGATAGAGGAATTGTTTTATGTGGCATCTGAATCACAACAGATGAAGCTTTGTAGAAGATATGTCTGGTTGAAAGCTGAAGCTAGTGAAGGATTATTATTATTATTATTATTATTATTATTATTATTATTATTTCACATTTATACCATACGTGCATATAGTAGGAGGCTCAGGGGAAGCACTTGCGGCCACCAGTATTCTTTTGCCCAAAACCAAATATATTCAAGTTGCTGTCAATAAAGACTGAATTTTTGGCATTTTGCTTAAAATAATTAATTGATTATCAAAATATTTTCTATGGGCTAATTGTTTGTCTGTTTTAGTTCTAGTCTGATTTCAAGCTGTTACAAAGTCAGGAAGAAGATGAAGTGCAGATTATTTAAAATACTTATTATGATGCAAATGGTTGGAAAAATGGCCTAATATGAACCTTGAACAATACTTAGTGTTTGTGTTCATTTATCTTTAAAGTTTGCTCCGCATCAGTGAATGGGTTGTTGTTTTTTAACTCCCCACAAATGCAAAACTTTCCATTCTTGAAATCTGCACTGCCCTCTCTCAGCAGACCTACACTGGAACTGTCCAGTCTTTCTGCATCCTTTTGTGTTTGCCACGTGTCAGCTGAGGAATAAGTGTAGTGGAATCTTACAGAAGGACCAGATGTGACTCTGGATGATTTCCACTTTGTCCTCAGACAGGGTGAGGGTGTGTGCACAGGCAGGCAACAGACTGATCCAAAACAAGCTCTTGCTTTGGATCCGTCTGACATTTGGGCAAAGTTTGAGCCATTGCCTAAATCTTTCAGTGCGAAGTCTGAAACTAAAAAAAAGAAAATATCCTGCATCTCATCTACTAAAGGATCATAATGCACCTTCACTGCTGTCAAAAACATCTGCAGTAATAAAACTTACAGGTCAAATTTTAGCCATATGCTGTGGATGAAACTATAATAATTTGAGCCAGTAAAACTACAGCTGAGTTATGCAGGGTCTTATGCAACAGAAGAGTCGCTCTTTGTTTGTCTTTTTTTATACACCTTCATGAAAGCTGCAGAGGGCTTATGTAATAGCTGCTTCACACTGTCTGGCCTCAGTCTGCAGGTCTACACCTGCTTTCCAGGCCTGGCTCTGGTTAGCCCTCAACCTCCACGTGAATAGTCTGGAGCCAAAAGAAACGCACACACGCCATCCTTAAAGGCTTCTGAGGTTGGACTGTTATTCCTACAAACAGCACTTTCAGACTACATAATTTTTCCATCTTCTGGGGGATGAGAGGGAGTGTGTGAGAGGGACAAATAGAAAGAGAGAGGGAGGGAGATGGATAAATTGCAAGCGTCCACGTTGATTCAGCCTCATTCGACAGGTCTAACCATGGAGTTCAAAGGAGTGTGTTTGCTCCTAGGAGTGCTGCTGCTCGTAAGCTCCTCGCTTCAGCAGATTCCAACAAAGAAGAAGCCCATGAAAAAAGGTAGAGAGTCTTAAGAGTCTCCTCTTACTTAAAACACTCTAAAGCTGTTTGATCACTGAGTTTGCACAATTAACCTTTTCTAAAAAAATTTCTTGTATGTCTGGAATCAGATACAACAAAGGATGCTGCTATTGTGCAATTACAGAAACAGATCGATGACATCGTCCAGGAGCTCAACCTACTGAAGGAGCAGCAGGCTCTGCAAAGAGGTAAACCTGGTGTTTAAAACAGTTCATAGTTAAAACAGTCATCAAGAGAAGGCACTACCTGCACCGTCATGTGATAAAACCCTTAAGTGTACGAGTGTATGCAAGTTAACAGTGTATAACAGTCCTTGCTTACCTTGCTTTGGGGCCAGTTGTTAAATCTACCTTAAGACATTTGATATTTTATTTAAAAAATATGCATGCACTATAAACTAGCTGTCACATATTATTAATAAGACACAAAATATCAGAATTCTTGTTTTTAATCATTGTTTGATTTTTTTAGTGTGCATGCATCTTATATGTTTTCAGTCAAGTCAGAGTAAGAATTTCCAGTACACACTTTCACTCACTCTACCCATTTAGATTATTCAACACAATTTCTCACAGTTATTCATGCAACATCAACTTATTTTATCCATTTTAGCCCGTTTATCTATATAACACTTGTTGACGTGTCCTCCTTCATAAACTGTGCTTGGGCTGATCCTAGTCACTGGTGATTGAAGGTGAATATGCCTTTAATATCACACCAGCAGAGTGGAGACAGACGCACTTCTTAGTCTCACTTCTGTCTGATATGGATTACAGTTGAGAGAACAAAATATGTATTTAAGTTGGATCCAATATCCTGAAGCATGCTTCAGTTAAACATAAGTGCAGATTAGATACATGTGGAGTCTTTAAAATGCCATATTTTAATCTGGAAAACACGTTTGCCCCACTGTTCTGAACAGAAAATCATATTGTTTCTGGAAAACAAACACATACATTCTTTTTTTAAAGTTGTGTTCGCCATGATAACAAAGCTAAATTTTTCCTGCATATCATTATCAAAAAAAGTCCTCACAAAAACAAGAAACATTAAAAAAAAAAAAAAGCATTTTACTGTTCTTATTTAACCATCAGTTCCTTTTTTTCTCCCCTCTGCAGTCTGTTTAAAAGGCAAAAAGATCAATGGCAAGTGTTTCTTGAGTGACCCTGTGAGGAAACGTTATCACACCGCCAGCGAAGACTGCAACGCCCTGGGCGGTGTCCTTGGCACACCTACATCCAAGGATGAGAACGATGAGCTCAGAGACTACGTCCGCCAAAGCATCGGCCCAGATGAGCAGGCGTGGCTGGGCATCAACGATATGGTAACTGAGGGCACCTGGATCGACCAGACCAGCAGCAGCATCACCTACAAAAACTGGGACACGTCCAACTTTAGGTCCCCCCAGCCAGACGGGAGCATGTCCCAGAACTGCGCTGTGCTCTCTGCAGCCTCCCAGGGGAAGTGGTTTGACGAGAACTGCCGCGACGAGAAGCCATCCGTGTGCCAGTTCAACATCGTTTGACCACATTTATCTCACCAGTGACTCTGCGTTTGCTTGGTTATAGCTGCTTTGTGTGTGTGTGTTTACTCTCACTGCAATGCTGCTTTTTTTTGCTATCCTAAAAGGGGTTCAAGCCAGTGGTTCCCAACTGGCTTTGCATCAGAACCAAAGTCTGATGTAGAAGTCACAATCAGTTGCATAAGATGATGTTATTTTAGACAAATGTGATGCTGCTGGTATGTAATTTTGCAGCGTTCCTGGTGTTTGGAATAAAAACAAGAAGAAGACCACAGTCCAGTTTGGAGTAAGCGAGAGATTGTGTGGCTGTACAAAGAAATGGCAAAGAAAACTGCATATCATTTTAGAAAAACATAAGTTGAAATAACAATGTTCATGTGATTAAAAATAGTGTTTGGGTGCTGGCACCATCCACAAATTAAAAACTGCGTGTAACTCTGTTGTCCTCACACCGATCAACAGCAGTTCTGTGACTCACTGGCTGAGAACCACTGTTTTAAACTTCTTTTTAAATAGGACTTTAAAAAAGCCATAATTATGACTGATATAACTTTTTTATTTTTATAATAACTCAGTCTTCACTCGTTCCAGTTTGCTAGTCTTGTAGCCTGCGACCTGTAAAATTACCATCAATAAACTACAATGTCTATCCCTGTTTTGCTTTTTCCTGTTTTTCAGAAATTTGCTTTCCACAAAAAAAATTTGAAGATTAATTCTACAAAACTTGCAAGTCAGAAGACGTGCAGACTTTATTTAAAAATCGTCTGCAGTTTAGAAATGTCACATAAACCTGGCCTCTGCATTTGTTATTTCCGCTATGCTCCTTGGTAAACAGTAGCTGCGAATCTTCAGCGGTTCTTCCACACCCTCCTTCTCCTCACACTGTTTTTATAGTTGGAGTTCCTGCGCTGAAACAGCTTTTTTTAGTGTCCAGCATGCAAAGAAGCCCATGTTTAAGCACAAGAGGGAAAATGAAACATCACTTCAGATGAGGTAATGATGGCCGTAAGGTCACGTAAGGCTACACCGCTTCCCCATCATACACTGACAATTTATTGCAAGTCAAAACAAAAACAAAACAATTCTGGTATGTACAGGCTAAGAAAAGGCAAATCTTAAAAAAATAAAATAAAAAAAATACTAGTCAACAAGATAAAAAACATTTACAAACAACAATAACGGATAATTTTCCATTTTCCATACTTTAAACAAGTTTAAAAAAAAAACAAAAACAAACAAACATTCAAGAAATAGTAGTTGCTGCTTTTTCTGTCTGGGAGTAAGATGAAAAGATTGTGAGCCATATCTCTGGGATCAAGGATCCTTAATAAAAAGCTATGGGACAATTACATAAAGCAGCTAAAAAAAAAAAGAACCAATCAACAGCTCATGTTGGAACTACATGAGCCAATCGTGTGCTTTCACACTGAGGTTCATGGCTGCCTCAACACTGCAGTAAGTACACTTTTTGCTTTTCTCTACTAACTGCATTTGTCTAGAGCTGCGATGGGTCGAGCCAGATGTGTTCCTTATGTCTGAGCCATTAGTGAGACCACAATGTTATGAAACGTTGCACAAGCATAAAGGAAAAGCTTTTGTACATGCACTCTTTGTATCCCAGGGACGTTATTTTCCAGACTTTTAAAAACAGGGCTCACTGCTTTCACTCTTGGATCTCTAGAGCAGACTGAGTTCTACCAAATACCGCTTAGACATATAAGCTCAGACTCCCTGAGTATAGTCACAGCACAGACACGTGCATGAGTACCCCTTGGCAGATACTTGGTGCTGTAAGGAGGATTTTGTAATAGCAGTTCATTGGATGGCTGTGGTCCTGACACACTACAAATAGTCATCCGGTATGGGCTCCATATCAGCAGCAGAGAGTCGGATGGTGTTTATGTCCCCTGTGGTCTTGAATGTGTATAGCTCATTGTCAATCATCCTGCGGTCCTGGAAGCCGAGGCTGTCCTGTCGGTTGATGGGAGTACGTGGACGGGATGGTATGAAAGTCTCAGAGGGATCCATAAACATTTTGTCCCCGGGCTGTGGATCTGGTTCTTTAATGACAGGCAGCGCTCCATCAGCGGGGCCTGTGAAAGTGCGGTAGGTGTCTGTCTGAATGCCGTTATACTGGTCTGGAAACGCCTCGCCGTGGCTGGAGTTACTCAGCAGATGGCCATAGACCATCGTTTCATCTATGGAGTCATAGACATGAGATTCATTTTCAGATCTGGTTTTGGTGAAGTGCATGTCAGATGGCCGGAAGATATTCCCTTTGGGCATGTATATGGACGATCCCCTGTTCCTTTTTTGATTTTTCTTTTTCCTGTTTGAAAAGATGAAGACAAACCAAAGGTTTATGGTCTAATAATGCCACTATGAGAGACTATGCATAAAAATGTCTGTAAATTTTTTTGTTTGTTTGTTTAAACTTAAATTCACTGGTTTTGCACAGAGGCAAAATTATAAAATGTGTCCATATACTTTGGACTTAACTGTGTGTATATATCAGCAGAAACAGCAAATCAATGGTTTATCTTACAGCAGCTACATTGTTCATATTTATTTTACACTAATATGTCATGACTGCAAAAATAAAAGTTGGTATTAAAAATGGTTTGTGTTCCAATTTGGGCAAAAACAACTTTAAAAAATATATAAAGAAAATATAAAGTAGATAAAAAAGGATGAAAAACTAGGTAATTTTAAGTATGGCTCAGTATCTACTCTGAGATTAAGCACATCGTTACTGATAAATGTAATCACAATGAGAAAAAGTAGAACAAAAAAATTGGGGTAGTGGATGTGGTTTATGTAAAAAAAAAAAAAAAAAAAAAAAAGGGTCATTTTAGACAATTGCTTGGTGGTTGCCAGGCAACAGGATGGCCATGCATAATTCAGCTTTTGTGGATTTAAATGACATGTTACTGTTATGAAGTAAAAGTGATATAATGCTTTTATGATGTGTTTTTTGCATAATTGCAAAAAAAAAAAAGTAGTACTTTTAGCCATTTTGCAAGGTGGTTTCTAGGCAACATGATAACTGTGTAAAATCTGATGTAGATAAGAACCTTCAGCGGCCGAAGATGTACCTGTATGCTAAGTTTGGCTGCTCAACTCCTGATGGTCTAGAAGGAGTTTGCAGCCAAAGAAACAAACAAACAAACAAACAAAAAACCAGACACACAGACAGAGATTTCTTTCTAACTAACACAGCCTAGTCTCAGGCATTTTTTAGGCTACCAGTGTTTTGCTGCAGGTGTACTCACTTTGTGACAATGCATACAACAGCTAGCACTAGAAGCAAAAACAAAATAGCTCCTGATATCCCAAGGACGATGGGTAAGAAATCTGTGGAGGAACAAAGCAAACACTGATTAGATTTATGCCCCTAAGATGTTTTGTGTATGTGAATGTGCAACAGTGATAACTGCTTACTCTGCTTCCTCTGCAGATTGATTGTGGTCAGTGCACTAAATTGACGAGTCTCTGGTTCACAGTTGGACATGTTGAGATAGAAACTTTCACCCACCAACTGTTCCACCACCAGCGGATCATTTTCTGAAATACTTAGTTTCAGCTCTCTGTTCTCTATCGTCCTCACATCGATTCCTGTGTGTCCCTCTTTACATTGAGGCTGTGTGACGTTAAAATTGAGCTGTGCTTTGTACTGGTTGGGCAGCGTGACGATCCAGCTTAGGGTGCGGTAAGATTTCATACCCTGAGGCCAGTTGGGGGTCGCCAGCAGTGTTGGAGACATCGTGTCAGGACTGACCGTGTAAATAATGGTCTCTGAAAGAGGGAAGGAATTCATATCAAGTCTAAATCCTGGGTGTTTTATAAATGAAAATAAATAAATAAAAACCCATCTGTGGTGCAACACTGCCTCTGCGTGGAATTTTAAAGTACAATAGCCGCGTACTGCAGCATGTTGTTGTTTAGTCTCTCAAATAAATTATTTTGTTCATTAACTAATTATTGATTCAAATTTCCTTCGTCTTAAGGTAATTCTTTAAAATGACTTCTTTAACCAAACTCAAACAACAGAAGACTACAGAACATACTGGATGATAAAACTAGTCACTTTTTACAGATTAGCTCATGATTCAGGTCATTCTCACTTTTGAGTCCTTTTAAATGTTGAATTTGGCTTCTATTATATTTACCAAGCACGAATGCAATGTTTTAAAACAGTCAGACAACAAATAAATGAAGCCATTATCGGGGGAAAAAAATCATAATGACCAGTTATCAGCATTTCTTCTAAATAATATAACTGATACAATTAATGAGTAAATATGTCTGGGCCTGGGTTTTTAGTAAAAAAGAAAAAAAAAAAAAAAAACCCAGGCAGGAGCCCAACAATACATATTGACATTTTACCTGTGATCTCCTCGCTGACGCTGATATTGAGGAAAGACCCCGTCATCCTGCTTAACTGCTGTCCCGGAGCTGTGATGGAGATGTTGGCGTGCACTTGGATTTTTTGGATTACGCCATCAAAGCAGAAATTTCCAACAAAATTGCTACCCTCTTCTTCTGCCAAGTGCAGAGAAAAAGGCTCTTTACACTCCTGGCTGGGCAGGGACTGCCGCAAACTTCCTTTTGGTGACACCAGGTCCCACGTTTTGGTTTCGGGGATGTTGAGGTGCCAGGTGAAGCTGTTGAGGGGCATTGGCAGGCAAGGCTCCATTGTGGACACAGAAAGTGTAGTCACCGGGCACGACTCTGTGTTCTTGCAGTCTGTCATCCAAAAGCATGAAGTGAGATCCATGATATTAAGTTTCCAAATAAAGCACAACTTAAATAGTAAACTTTTTTGTTGTTGTTGCAAAAGTTCTTATTTAAACCAACAGAAGGACTCTTGATGAGCTTTTCTTTGAAGTCTCAGAAATAAAGCTAATAAACATTTTTCTCAAAATATCAGTCTATCCTTTTAGACTTTAAATTGACTATTTAACTTAGATTTAATCTTTTCTATACCCAGGAAACAGAGATAGATCTACTGTCATGTATAAGAAAACAGATTTCAGGAATGAGAACTCTCACCAATAACTTTTTTGGCAGTCAGGCGTATGTCGTCATTTGGGCAGTCGAGGAAGGACAGTTTGGCTATTGATCCCGCAGTCACATTTATCTTCTCTTTAACCTCAGAGTTGATGCTGATCTCACAGTAGGAGGCAGAATTTAGATTCTCAATCTGCAGGGACACTCCCGGGTCTTTGGTTAGATCCACGGTGCACAAAACTAAAATGCAAATAAAAATAATACATATAGATAAAGATAAAGGTAATATATCCAATACAAATAAATACAAATAAATAAAAACAAAACATGAAAAAAAATAATTTTTCCCCATCTAGATGTGAAAATAATGTGGGACATGACAAAGCAGAGACACCATACTTCATCTATTTTTCTTTGGCTTATCTGTGGTCACAGCAGGAGTTGGAGCTCATCAGAGCTGTCATAAGGTCAGATATGGGCTACATCTTGGACAGGGTAGCAGTCTATATGGCTAACATGGAGACAACCATTCACTCTCGCATTCACACCAATTTAGAATCACTAATTCACCTAGGACACATGCCTTTGGAGGCTGGAGTGCCCAGAGAGAACCACACAGAAAGTGCTCAGCTGACCGGCGGATTCAAAACCTCCTTGCTGTGAGGCGTCTATCAAATGGACACTAAAATTTGTTCTCTTCACATCCTCATAGGCATCGTAACATTTTGCCACATTGTCTCCAGACTTGTTTGCGCTCATCTCATGTCATCTTTTGATGACACATATGAATGTACCATCGTGAAGGACTACACTGCACTACCTGTGTAAACCTGAACAGGCTGCAGATTTGCTGAAGAATTTTGTTCCCAAATTCACAATGAAAACATTCAGTGTGCAAACAAAATGCCTGTTTAGATTCGGACCCTTTCTACTATGACTTCACTGTAATGGGTTGTTGATAAAAGTGTTACACAGTCTCCATTTTATCTATATTTTGGTGTTAACATGATACTTGCACAATGTAATGAACTTAAGTTTAAATAAATGGAATTTTTGCCCATGCAAATTCCATAAAATCATCAAAAAACATAAATAATTACATTACAATATCTACCATAGTTAAAGGAAATGACAGTAGTGTGATAGACACATAAAATAGCTTGATGTTTAGAAAAACAAAACTGTGTGCAAGTCCCAGCTGTTTATGTTTTAACACTGTACCTGGACGGCCGCTCCTCACCACAGAGACCCTGTAGTTCAGCGTGAGACCTGGCAGCGTCGTGTTGGTTTGACAATTTGTCAGCACCATGTTGAAGTTGCCCTGTTGATGCTCTGGCTGAGGATCCTTTAGAGCTTTGGTTACCGTCTTGGCCCCTGCCTGATACTCCACCGTCACCTCTCCATTGTTGAGGCACTCGGGGGGTGTGACGTGATCAAAGAGCACGGTGTAGTTGTGCATCCCGGGCACCGTGAAGCTCCACTGCATCTGCATGTTGTCAGGGAAGTCTCGAGGAAAGTTAGCTGTCACGAGTGTTGTGTCCGATACACCTCGTGGTAGGTTGACCCCCACTATCGCGATCACTAAGAGTAAAAAAAAAAAAAAAGAAAAAAAAAAGCAGCGGACACTGAAGTTAGAAAAATCAAGATTTCATAATATTTCATAAAATTTTAGAACACAAAAACTCAAAACATTAATTCTAACCTTTTCATTAATTTTTGCTGTTGTAGTTATGCATTCTTTATGATTAAACAATTCTTTATGGTTGTGAAGTAAAACAGCGAGCAACTGACACCTGAACTAAAACAAATCTCTATACAACACCAGGTCAGTGTTATAAATCCCCCATTGCTTTGCAAGTTATTTGGACACTCCTGTGATTCACCTGGTAGAACAGGCAACCTGAATGCTTAAGGCCTTGCACCAGTATTTTGGATTCATCCCAGACCATGCTGCATTTTTTTGTCTACTCTGTGCTGCCCTATATGAATTAATCTATAAACAAAAAAAATAAAAGCAATCCATTTAATAAATAAAAGCCCAGATTTTCATGGAAAACATAACATTTTACAAGTGGCAATATGAGACTATTAACTATGGTAATGTTTCTAAAAAGTGCTTCATTATAAGTTCTCTACTCAATGATTTATTGTGCTCTGTCTTGTCTGAGGTTTTTTTTGTAGATATAAAATGACTCACTGTTTGTCTCAGGCCCGCCACTGAGTTTGAATTCAAAAGGATCCATCTTTGCATTCGCCGGCACCTTTAGAGACACGCGGCCCTTGTAGCGACCCTGGATGGTGGTCACAGATCCTCCTCTGCAGAAGGTACCAATATTTGCCTGCCCGCGTAAATAGATAATAAAAGAGTACTTGTGCTCATCCGGGCATGTCTCCTCACTGGAAATCTGTCTCAGTCCCTGTTCTGGGAAGTCCAGTTGGAATGTGTGAGTGAAATTAGTTTTCAAGTCCCACTTGAAGGTCCGGTTGAACTCTGGGAGCACCGAGGACTCGGCCTGAACCGGGTCACCAGAGAACGGGCCGTCTGTCCAGATACAGATAAAACAAAAGAGATGGTGAGTTTCCAATGGCTTTTCCCCCTCACTCTCCAACCTTTCTCCAGGTATCTCAGGCTCTGGAGGTTAAGTTGATTCTACTACACGCTCCCAGTCTTTACCATTTCCATTGTACACTAGTTCTATTCTGATAAGCACACAGCAATGTTTAAATGTCTAATGCGACATATGTCAGTCATAGCACAAAGTCCATCCATCCATCTTCATCCGCTTTATCCGAGGCCGGGTCGCGGGGGCAGCAGCCTAAGCAAAGAGGCCCAGACCTCCCTCTCCCCAGCCACCTCCTCCAGCTTATCCGGGGGAACACCAAGGCGTTCCCAGGCCAGCCGAGAGATATAATCTCTCCAGCGTGTCCTGGGTCTGCCCCGGGGCCTCCTCCTGGTGGGACATGCCCGGAACACCTCACCCAGGAGGCGCCCAGGGGGCATCCTTGTCAGATGCCCGAACCACCTCAGCTGGCTTCTTTCGATGCGGAGCAGCAGCTGCTCTACTCTGAGCCCCTCCTGGATGGCCGAACTTCTCACCCTATCTCTAAGGGAGAGGCCAGCCACCCTTCGGAGGAAGCTCATTTCTGCCGCTTGTATCCGCGATCTCGTTCTTTCGGTCACTACCCACAGCTCGTGGCCATAGGTGAGGGTAGGGACGTAGATCGACCGGTAAATTGAGAGCTTCGCTTTTACACTCAGCTCCCTCTTCACCACGACGGACCGGTACAGCGTCCGCATCACTGCAGCTGCAGCCCCAATCCGTCTGTCGATCTCCGGCTCCCTTCTCCCATCACTCGCGAACAAGACCCCGAGATACTTGAACTCCTCCACTTGGGGCAGGAACTCATCCCCGACCCGGAGTGGGTACTCCACCCTTTTCCGGCTGAGAACCATGGCCTCGGATTTGGAGGTGCTGATCCTCATTCCCGCTGCTTCACACTCGGCTGCGAACCGTTCCAGTGCGAGCTGGAGGCCCTCACCCGATGAAGCCAACAGAACCACATCATCCGCAAAAATCAGAGATGAGATTCTGAGGCCACCAAAGCGAAAGCCCTCCGCCACTTGGCTGCGCCTAGAAATCCTGTCCATAAAAATTATGAACAGAACCGGAGACAAAGGGCAGCCCTGGCGGAGCCCATCACCCACCGGGAACGAGTCTGACTTATTGCCGGTGTTGTGCCAAAAAGTGATTGTCTGCCAAAAACTGATTTCCGGTATTTGCCAAAAACTGATTGCTCGTATTTAAACTGCTATAAGTAACTTGTTGGCCTATAATATATGAAACATATGTCAAATGCATCACTCATGGATGACACAAAGTCATATTGAGCCACAAACAACATTCGTGTAACAAGGTAGAAGCCGCAATCAGTTTTTGGCAGCAACTTTTATAGAACCTTTATTTATGCAGTTAAAAAAAATCTCATTAACATTAAAAATGTCTTTTGTAAGAGTAAGACATCAGAAATGGCAGCAAATATTACAATAGTTCTGTAAAAATATTGTAAGTGGGGAAAAAGGACCGGATTGGTTATAATGTGAGTACAATAACACAGAGTTATAAAGATACTTGAAAAAACAGATAATCTTTTAATTCTATATATAACCCCTTTGTAAACGCTGTTCACCGAAGTCTATTTACCAACATACATAAAGGTATTACACATAAAAAATACACGGAAACATTGGAAATCAGTTTTTGGCAGGCAATCACTTTTTGGCACAACACCGCCAATGCGAACCAAGCTCTTGCAACAAAGTCCACTTGCATTAATTTTTTTTAAACCTTCAGCTTTGTCTTTACCTGCAATCACTGTTAGCTTTAGCACCTCTTCATGTGTAAATTATGTCTAATCAGCTTATGACCGCTTTAAAAATTTAAACATGCATTTACTTTCTGTCATGTACATTTCTAGGCCACTTCATTAGATACACCTACAACTGCTCTTTAATGCAAATATCTAATAAGTCAATCACATGGCAGCAACTCAATGAATTTGGGCAAGTAGACCTAAACGATGATCAAAACGACTTGCTGAAGTTCAAACTGAACAGAATGGGGAGGAAAGGTAATTTAAGTGGCTTTGAATGTGGTATTATTTTTGTGTCAGATAGGCTGGTCTGAATATTTTCGAAACTGCTAATCTGCTGGGATTTTCCCACAAAACCATCGAAAAACAGATAATATACGGTGAGTATCAATGTCTTTTCGGTGCCAGAGGTCAGATAAAAATGACCAGCTTCAGTTAAAACGAATGCAGAAATATGCAGCAACTGTGTGATGTTATCACACAAATCAACTATGACACATCAATTTTGGGACTAAATCTGTTAGGAATGTTTCCAGCACTATGTTTCAGAAAAGCTAATAAGCTAATCAGCTCATCATGTATTTTGTTCACATGGTCATTTACAGGTGCAGAATGCTCCTTAGGCATCTCATGAAAACTAGATGATACCCCCATGGAGGCTTCCCCAAGCTGGCCAATCATGAGAAAGTGTCCTTTTAGATAGGAGATGTTAAAGAAAACAAAGCTAAACTGATGGATTGCACAAATTTACAGTCTTAGACAAATTAGACCTTAAGACCTGACTTCACATATTTTAACTCTACATACCAATTTCTCTGTTGACCTCCACACTGAAGACATCTTGAGGTCGAGGGCAGGTAAACTCTACTGAGACGTTGCAAGGAGCAAACAGTGCTAGGGTTTCAGGGTAGCATTTCTGGTAAGGCGCCATCTGACACACGTTGCAGTGGAGCTCTTGATTCACCTTCGTGATGATAATTTTGGTTTTCTTGATTTCAGAGGCCACAGACATCATTCTGCTAGCTAAAAACAAAAGGTGCACAAGATGGTGAGATGCTGATCCAGCTGAAGAGAATTCAGCTCTATACTAGTCTGATGAAATATTCATATTAGACAGACATGAAATAATTTACGGGTGGTTTATAGTTGAGTTTATATGCTCTCATGAGCATAAATGCACTGGCAATTTGGGGTTTTAATGATTTCTTGGAACAGTTCCTTTTCTAGGGTGGAATAATTGGACAACATACATCTTTAATTACTTTAAAAAAGAAGAATTGGGTGCACAAGTTTGAATTTATTTTGGATTTTCTCTCATCCACACAGGGTCAAAAGTATACTTATAAGATCAAATGTATACATACACTCCCACTAATATTTGGTTAAATTACTCCTTTCATCTTTAACCTAAACCAGATGCTTTTGGTTTCCATCAATAAGCTTCTGGCACAAATCTGTCTGGATATCTGACCACTGTTCATGGCAGAATTGGTAGAAGTGTGTTGGAGTGCATGAAAACTCCTAATCACAACTTTACATCATTAACACCTTTAAGTCAAATCAGTTCAAGAAAACACTGCTGGTCAAATATTCTTATAAAACGAAACATTTCCAACAGCCTCAGCAGACCTTTAACGAAATAAAATAGAAAACTAATATTATGCTATTTGTGGTTCAATTAAGAAGGGAGACATAAATATATTTATAGTTGATTTTTCATAAAAACATAATTAACATTCTACTTATTATTTATTTATTTGTTTTCACACAAAATTTAATCAGGTATAGCATATAATTTATTTTAGTATAACTTTTTAACATTTGGCTGGGGACAAGAAACAAAGCTTAGCTTTGCTTTCCCTATTAATCAATGTCCAAGTCAAATATATACAGATTAAAGTAACTACATTTGAGTTATAGGTCCTTAGCTGCAACTGTATAAAGAGGCCATGATTGAATCATTACCATTTTAAAGGATTTATCAGCCATTGTTAAGGATATGTCTCCATAAATATGTGCTATGATGTTTTTTCTTTATGTAAAATGAATAAAACATCTTCCTCTACAGGTTCTAGAAAGTGTTCAAACTTGCCTCTCTCTGTTGCTTTGACATTAAATGCTGCCGACTCCAGTTTTTCTCCTTTGGGCACTTCAATAGTCACAGTCGTTGCTCCAAGCAGATTCAGATCAGACACTGTTCCGCCTTTGCAGTACTTGTTACTTTGAATTTCGCCACTGCGTTTAATTGTACTCACTGAGTACTGATAGACATCTGGGCAGGTCACCCCTGCAGAAATCTCCTTCAAACCACCACCAGGAAAGTCCAGCGTTAATACAGTACTCTCTGGGACACTGATGTCCCACGTCAAGGATCTTTTGAAGGCATTAAGTTGGTCGGGAACAATTTCTGCTGTAGAAGGTTTGCAGGAAGTCTTGGTGCATTCTGGATGAAGAAATTAGGAAATATTTTAATTTCACGTGATGGCTGAGGAGGATGAAATGTGAAGTTTTCCATCAATGAGAGCGATGCCAAAGTAAATGTAGAAATACATGCAGAAAAAACATTATAGATAAATGCGCAAAAGTAGTATTTTTGCAACAAGCTGATTCCTAAAGTGCTATTAGTCAAAAACTTGGCAGCATGCTGCACAGTGTGTTCTAAAGAAATGTGAGGAAACTGGGTAACTTGGGATAAAATAAGTGGAAGTGGAAGGTCTAAAAAAAACCCCAATCAAACAAACAAACAAAAAACTACAGTGGATGAATAGTATCTGAAGGTCATGTCCAGCAAAGACCTGAAACAAGATTTGAGAGATCTGGCTCTCCGGTTGATCCGTCTACTGTTCAGAAATGGCCTCAGTGGAAGAGTAGCTATCAAGAAGCCATTCTTAAAGCAGCGATACAGGGATAAAAGGCTGAGGAATAACAAATTACACAAGCACTTGATTGACAATCATTGTAGGTCTTACGGAGTGATGAATCCAGATTTGAAAATTTTAGTTTAAATCGCTGTCAATATGTACGGAGGAGGTCATGAGGGAGGTACAACAGTGAGCATCTACAGCCATCTGTAAAACACGGCGGAGGCTCTGTCATGGCTCGGGGCTGGATTTCAGCCAGTGGTGTTGGAGATGTTGTCAACATCGATAGAATTATTAAGAGAACAAATGTTGATCCACCATGCAATACCTTTTGGAAAGCAACTGATTGGCTTGATTTTTTAACCTTTATTAGTATATTAATTTATTTGTCACAGCTCCAGCAGCTCTCACCTATTGTCTTTTTTATCTTCACATTGAACCCGTCTTGTGGTTTCGGGCAGCTGAACACCACTGACAGTTTCTCAACATTGTTCAGCGTCTTTTCCGTGCTGCAGGTGAGAGTGGGGCCTTCAGCGGTGCACACTTCACAAACCGATTCCTTCGGGTCCCGGCTGAGGACCATGGTCGTGCTGGAATCAACGCTTATGACCTCAGTTTCTAAACAGAGTGAAACGCAGAGTGAGACAGAGGCCAGGGTTGAGTTGCACCAGCTGTTAGCCAATCCCTTCACAGGGTCCTTGTAATAGAGTCCACCATTAAAGCTTTAATTAAATTACTCACTTTTGCCTTTAGTGATGGATGGAAAAACTATGAAGTGTGTTGCCACCACTGGCCAGCTTGGCTCTGTCTACCAGCACCATTAAACCCCACTATAATCTAATATCTTCAGACCCACAAATGGCAAATTACAGGCTTTATCTTCTTTGTTCACACAAATCATCTGCAAGTAGCAAGAAACCCATTTCTATGAAAGACTGAATGCAAATAGGAAATAGTAAATATTTAGAGCAAATGCACACAGTTAAATCATTTTTTAAAATCTGACTGATTTTTGGTGACTCATTTTAAAAGTTTTAAGCTATAATTGGGTTACTTAACAGGTGGTGCAGCTCCAGTTAAACCCAGCATTAATCCTGTGGAGCTTCTAATTAAAAGAGAGTCTATATTTAGCAAACAGTTCTTACTCAGTTGTGTGACGGAGGTCTGAAACAGCTCACTGACCACCTGAGCCTTTGGTTTCACTTGCAGAGACACGACAGCTGGATTGATCAGATACAAACTTTTCACAGAACCGCCTCGACAGTATTGAGTCTGGGCCTTGCTGCTGGCTATGGATGTGGACACAGAGAACTGATGTCCATCTGAGCATGGCTGTGATGTGTCCGTCAGCCCTCCTTCGATGATGCTCAGGCGCACGACTGTGTCCTGAGCTGCATTCAGATCCCAGGTGAAGATTCTGGCAAAGTTAGTCAGGATGGATGGTTGAGTTTGCAGAGTTGGTGGGCTGCAGGCATTTTCAGTGCATTCTGGATTTCAGTCGAAGACAAGAAAAGATGCACAGATGGGTTAAAAAAAAAAAAAAAAAAAAAAAAAAAAGGTACTCACACCTTAATTATGCTTAATCTGCATAACACTGAAAATGTCTTTAGAAAAATTAGTAAATGAAAACCCGAAGATGCCACTGCTATATCTAAGTGGATTTGCATACGAGCTTTGAGCTTCTATCACAATAGAAATAACCACCAATTGACTTGACTGGGGGAAAAGAAATTGTTTTCTGAGGATTAATTAGAAAATTTAAAAAAATAAAAAATAATAATGGAAAGTCTCAATGCAATAAAATGTCAGGGTAGGAAAAAGCTGTGAAAGTAGAGGCTCCTGCACAGTGGGTTTTTTTTACATCAACGAATTATCTATCCTTGAAGCTATGATTAGACCAAATGAATACTTACTCTACATTTGCCTTCAAAGGGATAAAACGCTTTAAACGAGGTCTGATCGAAGCTGAACGTGAGTAAACTCACCGATGGAGTGAGCAATCGTCACAGTGTAAGCCTGCTCGACAGGCTGGGGGCAGGAAAACTGCAGTGTGGTCTCAACTTCAGGTACCAGAGAGAGAGAGGAGTGGCAGGGAAGCGGTGTGCTGTTCACCTTGCTGACGATGCACACAAAACATTTTGGCTGCTCGGTGGACACTGTCACATTCAAGCCTTTGTCTGGTCGAACGACCTCCTGCTGGGATTCTGGAAATCAGATCCAATAATGTGAATATGCTGTAAACTAATCTTAAGAGAAGATCAACAAATGCATAGCTCTACAGGGATAATTATATCAGACTTTAGTCACTTTGGTTCACCCTGAAAGATAAGATCCCATAAAATGTACACATTCATGTCCACCAGAGCATGTATTTTTACCTAAAAAGCCACAGTCAGATTAGTTTATTTTTTATACCTGTGACCAAATACTTGTGGTCTTAATGATATATAAAAGAAACAAACACATCCTTAAACAGTCCAGCTGATTTTTCTGTTCATGCCTGAGCAAACACAGCAGCTCCAGGCACACCTATTCCCATGCACTGAAGTAGCAGACAAGCGCAAATTAACTGAATTTCGATAAACGTGAGTCACCTAGTGAGTAAAGAGAGGGTGAACCAGTTTTAAAAAGCATAATGAGGTGACTCTCCCGTTGTTTTCTCCTGAGAATGTTTTTCTAACTCTGGGAGAAGCAGTTTTTCTCCACAGTAGCAAGGCTTTTAAACCAGATGTGGTTACAGGTGTTGTTTTTGGTGGTCTTTTCTATTTAATCATCCTGTTTCCACAAACTTCTGTGCCATTTCTACAGTTCCTGACGTCAACATTGCATAATTTTGGCACATTCTTTGCCTGCACGTTCATGCTAGTCTATCCCAGAGGTTACTCTACTCTGCTGGAATTAGATCTGGTGACTGAGGATGCCACTTCATCATGACTGCTTTCATGATCGTGCTCAGAAGCTACTTTTTGTTGGTGACTTGGTGTGTTAACATGATGCAAGCAGCTACTGGAATATTGTAACCAGCAGCCATTCTGGTATGAACACAGTTGGCAAAAATACCATAAATGATCAAAGTGCATCAAAAACACCATCCCCACATCACCAGCCCGGACTGGTGACTAAAGGCAGGCTGGGTCACTGAATTCACGCTGCTGATGCCAAATAGTGACCTTACCATCAGCCATGTAAAGAGTAAAATCTGGAGACTGTGGTGCTGAAAGCCCCTGGAGATCAGTGAGCCCAGATGGACTCAAACCAGCTCGTTAGGCACCAACAATACTCTCTCATTATAAATGTTTTCCCCATTCTGATGTTTAAAGTTAACTGCAGCTCATGACCTACACTGAGGTGCAGCTACATGACTAGCTGGTTGATTAGATAAGAGTATGAATAGGAAGGTGTACAAGTAACACACTCCATGTGAATATTTTGTAACGTATGCAAATAATCAGGGAAGTTCACACACCCTCATATATTACAAAGCACACTTATTCCTACAGTTACAAACTTACTGCCCTGCTTCCCATCCTCTGCAAATATCAGAACTCTTCTCTTAACTTCTTTATTTTCTGCCTGTTATTTACTTTCACCAAACTCTGCGAAATGCGGATTGACCTACTTCCTGATTTATCCTTATTTCACATCAGTTCTATGAATGGAATTCAAGAAATTCCACATTTACTCACATACCCTCCTACTCTGAATGAGGTGAAACCCTCACATGTGCAATCACATAATAATCCCTGCCTGGACCATATCTGCTAAAAATATCAAGAAACCTAATACTAAACATACAATCTAGGATTTAAAACCAAAACAAGCGACAAAATAAATATATTTAATTAATCCTCACTCTCAAAGCAGTGAGCATAATGTTACCTCTTCCTCTCTCTCAAGCTAAAGCAAAATAAAGTCCTTCTTTAACCTGAACCTGTAACAACTAGTCCACAAAGGGCTTCTTGCAACCGTAAACAGTGGGTGTGTTGAGAACGTCACACCGTCCAAAGTTATTTAGAAGTCATTTTATAAATATGATAAAAACCCTTTTTTAAAGTTAAACTTGCTGATGATGATTTCAACCCACAAAACCGGGAAGTTTACATCTAGCATAAAACGATTATTTAAAAACAAAAAAACGAGCAACAGATTGTTGGTCAATCATTAATGAAGTCGTGATGAATTCATGCCTCCAGGAAGCTCCATAAATGCCTCATAAACCTTTTTGAAAATGGAGGTCTGGAAGTGGGAGCTATGAGTGGAAACGCGCTCCAGCCTCAGTCATGTCTGAGCTGCCTTTAATGCTCGTTATTATCCTATCATTTATTGACACGGAGCTTTAAGCACAGCTTCGCTTGAGTGCATCTTTACAGCAGCTCAGCGCGCGCTCCTCTCAGCTGTGTTTTTGACCCATTTGGCGCACGAACGCGAAAAGAAGCCACGCTTTTGACACGAGGACGTTTCGTGTTTTGTTTTGAAGATGCACGTAGATTCAACAAACAACACAAAATACTGAATGAGGTCGTTTTTTCCCCTCACCTGACGAATCCAAGACTGCCAGAAACAGAAGCGCCAGGAGAGCGCAGGTCCTGCAGAGCCGCATGTCCTCAAAAAAAATAATAAAAATAAATAAAAGCAAAATAATTTTAAATGATTGTTTTTGTAAGTTAAAAAGATAATCTAAAATCGCCGCCTCTCTTTCAGATACAGCTTACAGCTGCATTTCCAAACGTTACAACAACAGCAGCAGCGTCGCTGACAGCCACTTCCTGCTCACGAACACTTGCGCGCAGCGGCACAGAAGAGGGCGTGGACCGCAGGTAGAGTACCTGTCCAAACTTGACAGGAAGAGCAGGCCCTGCCGCTGTGCCTTTAAGCAGGAACACTGCAGCGATAGCGCACGCAGTCCGGACTCTTAGATTAAGACGCGGGTCCTCTTCTGACTTCCCTTGCACTGTGTGGGACAATGAGCGCCCTATTTATAAGCAGCCAAACATGCCAAAGATTGTTGGCATCGTGCTGTGTAACCCCCCAAAATGTGGCAGACGAAGGGTGTGGAAGCAGAGCCCAGAGCATAAGCAAACCTCGTTGCATCATAGCTGATAAATATACTGATAGACGGAAGTAGTCTGAATGATTAGAAATATTAAAGCTTCAGAAGGAATATTAGTGAGAAGCAAAACAGGCATAAATCAGGTTGTTCCTGGTCAGCTGGAATTTCCATTTTGTAAAATGGAGATGGAAATGTGATTAACTGTGCGTAAGACAGCTTCTGCACAGCACTCCCGCAGTTGCAGAGACTGCCTCCTGCCTCCACACGCCTCGTGACGCAGACATTCCTGCACAGAAACATACCTGAGGGCTAGACAGCTCACAAACACACATCCAGGTACTGCTATTTGAGTCAAAATGCCTGAATTCAACCTTCAGGCATTTTTGACGTATATGAACCCAAACCTCTACATCATGACAACACACTGGATTACACAAAGTTTAAAAAAAAAACAGTACACACACGCGCGCGCAACCAACATACAAACGACATGCAAGTTTTTTGGTGAACCAGTCTGACAGCTAGGAGAGTGGGCGTTGTGATGGAAGCAGACAGCTTCACAAGAGGACCTCAGTGAGGAATCAGCAGCTGTCAGACGCCCCCTCCCTCCATCCCTCCCCTGCTCCAACTGTAACCGTAGATCCAAAACACGAGCTGCATGAGTTTCTGTTCTTTATCCTCTCTGCGTGGAAGCTAATGGAGACACGCAAGCAACTTTAAATGACCTGCTGTAATACACTTACAATATAATAACAAGCTGTCATTGTCGATTGGAAAGATTAAAGACTTTAAAATAAAAGAGGAGGATTAAGGACCAAATATTAAAGGTTAATAAGTGTAAAGAGCCACTTAAAAAACAAACAAACAGATCTCTATTGTTCAGTTACAACCAGTCGGTGTTTACCTGGTGCAGGTATTTCTGGCTCTTTGGGCGTGTCTGGTTTTAGTGACCGACTTATGAGAGGAAGGTCCTAAGGCTTCCACATGAGGGCAGTATCACAAGACAGATGATCCCAGAAAAGGCTTCACTGCTCCTCCTCAATATTTAAAAATGCACATTTAGGCTGCCAAAATATAAGACTCAGGCATGTACTGTAGTACTTTATTCTTTTGGATTCACTTAAAAGTTGAGCTCTGAAGTTGTTTCTGAAGATATTTGTATTTTTTCCAGTTTCTAAATATTTAGATTACTCATATAAAAACATTCTTATTTATTTCTTTTCTTATTTTCAGTTTTTGATTAAAAAGGAAATCCATTAAGAAGTGCTGAAACTCTCAGCTTTCCTTTAACATCCTTAAAGGGTCATCTTACCATCACCAGCTTGTTTGTTCACTGCACATTTTATACATGTTTTTTATATTTTATACATATTTCTGTACATTGTTACCTGTATATACGAACTTCAGTTGCTTATGTATATAGGTCCACTTTGTGTCTTCCTTCTATATCTTGTGTTCCCCTTGCTATAAAAGCTGTGTAACACCGAAATCTTCTCATCTGTGGGATAATAAAGGTTTATTCTATTCTATTCTATTCTATTCTATTCTATTCTATCAAAATCTTATCTGAGTAAAAGTGGAGATTTTTTTAACCAGCAGGTTTAAAGTAAAAGGAGTTCCTGTGAGTGTTAAATAATAATAATAATAATTATCAATAAGACTGATGGGAATTTTGCCTACCCTCACATCCTACAATAACACCAACTCTTTGCATGTCCTCCTTCACTCCATATTCAACATCCATTATCCAGTATTCACACATTGTTAGTATGAATGGCTGTTTTTATCTTGTAGCTTATAGTTTTTGCCGTATAAACACGTAGGAGTCAGGTGTTTAAACCAGCGTCCTCACAATGTGAGTGCTGTGGTAGGCTGAATGTGCTGCAGGTTCTTTTTCACCTTCAGGCTCCTTCCTCTGCTGCTCTGACACATTTCATCTCTTAGCTTACCCGAGAATACAGTTTTTAAATAGAAAGATGCTTAGAGCTGAAAGTTCTCACAGTAGCTGCAACAGAAAAACCTAAAAAACCTAAAAAACGGCACTTATTCTTTTTCTAATATGTACTCCACCATTAGACACTTTTAAAAACATTAAACAGCTACTTAAATACTGTATAAGTACAAAATTGAAGTACTTTTACTCGTTTATTTGTGTTTTCGTTCACACAAAACTACTTTCTGTCTAAAGTTTTTCAGCCGCCTCGGAGGAGTAATTTCTTAAGATTTTGCCCTTCAGAGAGCAAAGGCAGAGAGCAAATTCTCATAAACCCAACGAGCAGCTCCTCTTACAGCTGTCTGCACTGCACATAAAATTAGACCTCCAGACAGCCGTGCTGCAGACTCAGAGCAGTGGGCAAACTGGTGCTGAGATGAATCCCAGTTACAGTGACAGTGTTTACTTTGGTAAGAATGGAAAAGACTTAATATTCACCTTTTTTTGGCGGATTAGCCTTTTATTATTCAGACGTGCTGCCAGTTGTTCCATTTATTCTTCATGTTTATTCAGGAACTTGTACGAGATGCAATCAAGCTGTCTACAGAGCAGGTCGAGCGTGTCAGGCGATGGGACGTTTATTCCACAGCGCGTGCTTCATCTGCAGCGTTTGCAGTGAGCTCTCCTCGTGTGAATGCTTCTCTGATAGTACAGTGTGATGTATAACGGTCTACATATTTAAGCTTTTGCATGTTTTCAGGTAAAACGCTCAGTGGCAAGCCTTTCTACACAGTGTCAGGGATGATATACTGTGAGGATGACTTTTTGGTAAGTATGTTCTTTTAATAGGTTGTAAAATGACAGATTAACTTTATTGCCTAATCTATTTGGGTGGTGGTGTTTTCCTGGTACTCGTGGTATTTTCTGCAGTTCTCTGGAATTCATCCATCCCCTGAAGTGTGTAACAGCTGTGGCTTTTTAATCACAGATGTGGTAACTATTAATTTATTTACTTAAACAGTACTGTGAAAAAGCATTTCCCCCCTTCCTGATCTTAGGTTTTTTTTCTATATTTGTCACGCACACATGTTTCAGATCATCAAATACATTTTAATATTAGAAAACGATACACCAAATAAATATGCAGTTTTTAAATTACCTTTTCATTTATTAACGGATTAAAAGCTGTTCAACCTTGCCTGCCCTACATTTGACAACATTTATTTGGGAAAACTAAGTTCATTTAATTTTTTTACACTCAGGCACACACAGGCACACACATAGAAATGTTTTACTCAGGTTATCTTTGGCTAATATTAGAATTTGTTCGATGATCTGAAACATGTAAATGTGACAAATGTGCAAAGAAAATTAAGAAACCAGGAAGGGGTCAAATACTTTTTCTAAGCACTGTGAGTATATGTGTGGTGTCACATGCAAGAAACTGACATTACATTGGATGATCAGATCCTGCAGGCTCGTGGGAAACCCTACCACCCATCCTGCTTTCGCTGTGTCGTCTGCAGACAGAGCCTGGAGGATCAGCCTTTCGCTGTCGACTCACACCGCAGGATCTACTGTGTCAGCGACTACCACAGGTGGGTGTTTTATGTAGCAACAATAGTCCTTTTCAAGAGCAAAGGGGGAAACCCTGCCAGACAGGCTGAACAGGAGAAAACTCACACCTTTGTTGACTTCATGTTTTAACCTCTGTGAACTTTCACTGAAACTTCTTCTCGGTTTCAGGGTCCAGGCTCCCCACTGTGCTGCCTGCAGGTTGCCGATACTCCCAACAGAAGTGAGCTTCACAGAAACTATGCAAAATATTTGATAATTCAATTCACAGCAAATGATTTCACAAAGAAGCACTCTGAGTGCTTTGTTATCTCTTTTTTTTCAGGGATCCACAGAGTCTATTCGAGTGACATCCTGTGACAGAAACTACCATGTAGAGTGCTACAGGCCTGGTGTTAACCTCATTTAACAAAGACAGATTCTGTGATACTTAATAAGATACTCTAATAAAGTCATCCACTCCTGCTATTTGTTTCTCCTTAGTTTTGTGTGTGGATCTGTGTCTCCTCTGATGCACCTCCACCTGTAGGCAGCATTCGCCGCACACTAGCACCACCTTGTGTCTACATCGGGTACTACAACCACCTCCCATCTCCCGGAACTGTTCGCGATAAGCACTGATAATGGCGTCAGTCACGGTACGTGGCTTGGCTCTCTGCACTACGTCTTTGCTAAACTTTGCGTTTGTTTTCATATCCGGTGCAGATCTCATTCGGTTTGTCTCGTTTCGAGCCATTTACCATAACATCACGGGGGAGACGACACTCTGTCGAGGTAAGTTCCCGTAAGCGGCAGGCGGCCAGGAGCGATTACCAAACACTGGTGGAGGCGATATCTGTAAAACCGTTAAATACCTCATATACTTTTTGGCTATGGAAAAAATTACTGTATAGGTTTATATAAGTATAATTTAACGAATGTTAAATTCATATACGTCATATAGTTCAATTATTACGTTCTCAATATGTGCTATAAATACCACTGGGCGACTGTTTAGAACCAGCGCCCGGCTAGCTCAGTCGGTAGAGCATGAGACTCTTAATCTCAGGGTCGTGGGTTCGAGCCCCACGTTGGGCGGCGAGATTTTTTTTTTCCTTATGTTTTTTTAGGGCTGTTTTTATTATTAGGGCTATTTTATTCTGTTTACTAAAACAAAAATTATCATTACGGGCTTAAAAGCATAATTTGCTTATCGCCAATATCAAATATCGACCAAATGGCGAGTGTTTGAAAGCTGATTTCGGGTGAGCAGGAATACTGGGTTTGTTAATTAGATTAATTAGCTATTCGTGATAA